CTATGAATGTCAACAATAATGGTCAGGTTTGGACAAGAAATTTTGATAATTTGGCTGAAAGTTAGGAAATCATTCCATTTGGAGTGCCTCTCCTTAGCATTTCATCAAATGTGTTGGCCAATACACATAAATATTGTACCCGCCCCAGCCAACCAACTAAAATGAAACCTCAAAATTAAAATGAAACTCGTTATATGTAGAATTTTACTAGCTGACTGAAACATGGATTAGGGATAAAAGCGAGAGTTGCATAATAGAGGATGGACTTTCTTAAGCAAGCTGAAACGTGAATACTCTTTGCTTCCATTGCTTAAGAAATCACGAAGACACTCACCTTTGGCCATATTTTCTGAACACGCTCCAAGGAAATTCACCACATTTAGGTGCTTTCCAAGGTGAGTAATCATCTTTATTTCCTTCATAAGCACCTTGAAATGTACGAGGTCAGAGTGAGGCTTGCTTTTTTTCACAGCAACTGTTGTTTCAGGCTCGGAGGGCCTGATGCCCCGAGCCACGGCCTTGATGACGATCCCAAAAGCCCCCTGGCCAAGCACCTCCCCTATTAAGATAATAGCCACAATAGAAATTGTTACCTGTCAAGACGTTTCTAGTCGAGAATGGGTTCATACCTAGTCGAAGCATCTCTGCTGGGAATTCCCAGTGCTCGTCATATGGCAAAAGATCTGCTTGTTCACTGAGGCACAATGTCGGATTGATGTTCATGGGTTCTCCTCTTCGAAATGGCTTTGTGTCTTTCATTGGCAATGCAATTACTTGAACCTGCAAGGTTTATGAGCACAAGATACAGCAAATAACATGGTGATGAAATTCCACCAAATAAAGATGGCCCACTTGCTGTTTCCGTGATCGGTAGTAGAGCATAATGCCAATGGTGATAACCATAATTAGAATAACTACAATAGAAGTCGTTGCGATGAAAGTTGCTCCAGTGAAACTTGTATATTGTATCTCGTACAGTGTTTCATCTGCCAAAATAGAGAGTGTTAATGACCTTCGCTCATGCATGGCAAATAACATATATAGTAAACAGAATGCTACTAGTAACACATGCAGCAAAACTGAAACTGGAAATGATGCTGGAGCGACCTGGTAACGGAGAAGCCCAAGTACGAGGTATTTCTCAAAAGTTCTGCCAGTAGCCCACAAGTCGTCATCGGAGGCGGCCGCAAAGTGCTGGACCAGTTCGGGACACTCATTTTTTTTATTATTAAAAAAAAGGTTTTTCACCTGGTTGGATCCATCGCATGAAAAAATGCATTGAAATTGTGAGTGTGTGGAAAAGGTGTGAAATAGTTGCCTGTGGCAGTAATGATCAGAATTTAATCATGGAACACTAGATTTTTTATTTCTTTGGGGCTACTGGCAGACCTTTTGAGAAATCCCTCGTATAAGAAGAACGTTGAGGAGAACGCTCAACGCCGGCTCAAAGAGATTTATGGCGTTCAAGGTTCAAAGGATGAGGAGCTTTTGGACGCCCAATTAAAGGTGCCTTTTGCTCGCCGATAAATCATGTTCTTGAAGGACTGTTCTATCCATCTGACAGTGACTAGAAACAAATGTTCACATAATCGACGCTGATGGATCCGCTATAACAGGTCAGTACCTCATGTAACTGGAATCAATCTGCAATACATTCCTGGAGGTGCCCAATCTTCTCCCCGCACACACATCACAAAGGAATCTACATAAAACTCTACCCTGGAGGATGGAGGTAATATAATACTTTAATTCGAAGAGGTCAAAAGTTGTGGTGGTGGTCGTGGTCGTGCCTGTCACCCCAACGCGCGGGCCTACAAAGTAATGCCATTCTGGGTCATAGGCCAGGCCATCCACGGCCTAAAGCGCCAGGCCTACAAGACTACACCTTTCCAGGCCATATACTGTATCTTTAATTCGAAGAGCCCGAGAGTTATGGTGGAGAGCAGTTGTTACCCCGGCGCGCGAGACCTACAAGAAAATGTCACTTCAAGCCATAGGCTAGGCCATCCACCCCTCAAAGCGTTAGGTCCTTGAGGCTATGTCATCCTAGGCCATTGGCTTGGCCATCCAACGCTTTTAGCGCCAGGTCCATCGAGCTATATCAGTCTGAGCCATAGGCTTCATATTCAGCTGTGTCAATCAAAGGGTAGTAATAAATGAATGCGTGTCACGTTTTCATTGATCAACGCAAGTTCTCCATTGGAATACATTCCTTGCTGTTTTTTTCTGTATTTATTTTTTTCCGTTAGGTCAGGCGTGGCGGTTCGGGACATCACTTCCACGCAATAGTTATCTGTTTGTGTTTCATGTCATGGCCGAATTATTTGAGTTCTCATGATTAATGAGATCAAAATAACAACTAAAGTTCTTTGTTTCATACGTCGCAGAAACGGGCCGCTCCTCCAATCAAAATGGTGGCAATTTTTGCGAGGTGAGGTTGAACGCGAAGAAAAAATGTTGAAGGAGGTCCCACAGGATGGCAATGAGGCAGTCGCTGCAGATAATAAATAATTGGTGCTGGCGCGGAAATAACGCTTGCCACTGCAGTTGCGGTGCCAAGTGCCTATATCGGTGCTTTAGGAGGTGATAGCTATTATGGCTAGAATGACTGATGAGCAATACCCTGTGGCACGTAGGGAGTGTAAGGCTGAAAAGCAAGAGGCACCCATTGCTGAGCTCAGGAATAGGAGAGTCATGCAGCTTGCTGGGCAACTTGATGCAAGGAACGCAGCACTCGAGTGTTGAAAGCTGGGGGGCGACCGGGAACTGAACCCAGACCTTCTGCTTCCCGGTCAAGTGTGCTACCCTTACACCACGGAATTCGGGACATTTTGTCAGGCCTCTCCATGTCATCTCAAATCACTATAGTCGTTTGCGCAGCGAGATATTTCAGGCTGTACATTTTGCTGTAGGGAGGGGACATTTGTTTCACATTGCAGCCACAACGGAAAGGTGCTTCTGCTGCAACTCACACCTAACGCTGAAACTGTTGTTTACTGGTGCTAATGTGGTGGCGAGGCATTTTCAGGAATTATTCTTCAGTATTCTGCTACACATGCGCTGAATTCCCTTTGTGCTGAAGTCGAACAAGTTCAAAGAAATGGCCAGTACTTTTTCAGAATCAGTGGTACCTGTACCATTAGCTAATGCTACTAACCCATGAGCTAATCGATGATAGAAAAGTATTGAATGTGCTAGGGGGAAGAAATCAGCAAAGTCGTCTTGAGTCTCATGAAAACTTGCTAAACCATTCACAATGAACGTTTGTGGCAATCAGCTGGAACATCATGATGATGGTGTTTAGGAAAAGAATCTCCCTGTATAATATAAGCTAAATGCGTAAAATTGTAATGAAGCGGTTAAGTTCCGAAAGGGTAACGAGATAAACAGAGGATTGTCAAGGAGACGTTATCCTCACAATAGGCGATTTAAACGGCCAGCGTAGCGGCCGCAGGCCGCTAGTTTGCTTTCGTTTTCTAGTTGACTTCATGAAAAATGTCGTACGACGCTTGAAAGGATAGTATCCCTATCATCTACTCATGGTTCGGCGCTCCATTACCTTGGTTAGTGATTCATTCATTTATTTTTTCCGAAATAGGAAACACGTATTTTAAGTACTCAACATTGAAATATGTGCCATATGGGAGCGACTGTCTTGACTTTTATCAAAATAATTACTTCTATGATTGCAAGTGTGCCTAACTTCAAATGTTTTCATGTGTCCCTTTTTGTAAGGGTGGAGAATACATTTTGAAATACTTCCCTCC